TCTGAAGGCCTCTTAGAGAGGAGGCTGGCAGTGCTGCTGCTCCGGCGATAAGCATTTGCGTGATTAATGAAATTTGATGCCCCTGCCCAGGAGAACGGCGCCGAAAAAGAGCTGTGAGCGGCGCATGAGTGGAGGAACCAAATAGGAAAAGCTATTGCCGAAAACTTAATACCCTTGTGGTATTTACGAAAAATTTGATACTAGTTGCATCGAAAGAGACGCTGCTGTTGACACTGATCATGGATGTATGCATATATTTTATGAAATCGAAGAAGTCTTCTTCCATGCCTTTCACATTTTACCCTCAACAAGGGCATATTAAGAAAGGCTAGCGAAAGGTAAGTAAGGCTTTTGCACACCTTTCCACAAAACAATTGCACAATCGGTCAGCATGACTTATGAATATGGGCCGACAGTGGGCGGGCCAACTCGTCTCACAATGTCTAATTGGCTGGCCTGGCCAGTACAATATGGGCCAATTAGAATTTGTAATCGCGCACGCTTTGCCCATTTGAATTTATATCGAAATTTAATTTAATTAATAGACCGCCAAGTGGGGCAAAAGTCGGCCAGGTGGTGTGTCCACTGCCATTCTTATTGGCCAAACGCTCGCCTATCGCAGCGGGAAGTGTCAAAAAGTCAACTCAATAACTGTTTATTTAACTGGCATATTTCCAATTTCCAACTTTGTGGCCTACTTGCAATTGGCGGCTGGGTGTGAGTCAGGCCCAGACCAAGACTCAGTTAAACTGGTAGTCAACAGCTTCGTTGGGTCCACGTGGTGAAATTTGAGCCTCTTTGCATGTTGGCCAATATTTTGAGCCCGATAAGAGCTGAATTTTATTTGCCTAATCAATTTGATTTCTCTGGTGCTGTTTGGATAACTCAATAGATAGTTGCATAAGGCTTCATAGCTGCGAAAAGGCACAAAAGCTTAACTGTAAGAGTTACAGAAAGTCAACTACAACTACCCATAGATGGTTTGGTTGTTTCTCTATAAGTAGGAAGATTGAATTTAAGAAATTATGAAGTACCAAACCTTGTTCATTTTCAATCTAAGAGATCAGAAAGAAAAAAAATCAGCCGTGAATAGTGAAAATATTAACGGGGCTTAGCTATTTCTTGGCATCTATATGACAATTGCTGCCAATTTGTGTTCAGTAAGAAAATTCAGCTATTTTTAAGATTGAATTCAGCTTGTTTTTGAAGCGACATTTTGTCACGATCTCAACAATTGTCAAAGTCGGCGAATAGCTTATATCAAGTCGCTCATAGAACGCTTGCAGCGTTTATTTCCAATTCCATTCACTTTCAATTTATTTTTGTCCAAGCCATACATTTTCCCATCTCTCTTTTACGATGGCTGTCCACCTGATATTGTGATCGATATCCATAATGGGCGAGTAGCTTATACCGCGCCCACATCTAAGCCTACACGCCCATTTGCTACCGTTTAGCCAGATTGATTTCATGCCAGCCGCTGCACGACTCGCTGATCATTTCCATTTTGCAGTGGCAGCCGCACAACGCCCACAAATGTGGGCGAGCTGCATTTTCCCAGAGGTGGCCATCAATCAAATTCGAATGCGAGTGCGAGGACGAGAACTGCACTTCACTTGCCTTTGTGGCACGACGGCGAACGGGATGCACGGGTGCCGCATTTGGGACCCTGAGCGCTTTTGGTTGTTAAAATTGTAGCGGCATCATTTTTCATATCCGCGGCAAACAACTGCCACAAAAAGCTAAAAAACAATATACAGTCGAAGGCATGGAAATCGAGTAGCAGCTAACAGCGGGAGCTGCAATTGGACCTGAAGCTCGACCTGGACCTGCAGCTCGTGTCTGTGTGTGTAGCTGTGGATGTCGAATGCGTGATCGCCAGTTTGTTGCGTTTCTTTCGACTGCGTCTCCCTCCCGAATAACGCTTTGTTTTTGTACTAAGCAAACTAGTCATCGCCGCCCCCTACCATTGGCCACCAAACCCCCTGGCCGACACTTGCTTTGTGTGCGCAGCGAATGTTTCGATGCGCGCGAATTTGTTGCAATTTCTCATTGTCAGCAACGCGTTCGCCGGTAAATTTTGATTAAACGCTCCACGGGAATTCACTTTGCTGGCCCGTTTCGCGTTTCGAGTTACTCGTGCGCTTTTCTATATCCCGTACCCCTGGAAAGTGCTCAAATAGAGGGTATATTGCACTTGTTCCAGTGCTTGATCAGTTCGATGAGCTGGGTTTATCCAACAAAAGCAGAGATATAAACAGCTTGTCAAGTAAACATTTCTATTTATATTTAAATAATATATTCATATATATTTTATTGTATATTGATAGCTCGATTTCTTCAACATCGAAAAATATCGATGCAGCCATGTTATTTTAAGCAAATTTTAAATATATTTAAGTGAATGCCTTTTCCGATAACTCTATTCGATTTCTCAAACATAAATAAGTATATGATATATATATATATATATATATATGAAGCACGTGTATGAATATACATATGTAGCTGGGTACAGGGTGTCTTATGGACAGGCACTCTTGACTGCAGCAGTCTTACCTGTTTTTTGGCTCTTTTTTTTGTGAACTCTTCGATAGCTGGACCTCCTGTCCTTGCCCACTTTCATTTGAATTTGATAAATGATGCTCGTCCCGGAGCGATATGTTATGCAATTTAGGGATTTGTTTTTGGTTGCGATATTGCGAAAAAAAAACCGTAGTTGGTTAAATGCTAGCACATCGCAGTTATAAATGAATACGGCTTTTGAAAATCAATTAGAAGGTCTGCTAGGTGAAAGCGCACCTATCTACAACAGCTAAATACAAGCTCCTTTTTTGTTCAAGGAAATCTGATTAAAGAGAGCTACAGAGTGAAATGTGCGAGGCTGCGGAAGAGCAACGGCGGTGCGCATTAATAGCGCCCAATAACAAGCCGTAATAATAATTTTGCTCCAATTAATCAGCGTTAAATCAGCGAACCGACGTCAAGCGACGCGATTCCATTCGATGTTTACCAATTGCCGCCTTTGTTTTGCCAGCCTTTTTATTATTATATATTCCTCTTGTTGTTGTTGTGCCCTTTGTTAAAGCGGATCAATGTCTGGGAAAGTAGCAGATGCCCAAGTCGATGTCTGGTTCCATTAAGCTTAAATAATATTAAAGCGGCAGGCAAGAGAATTCAATTTGTGCAATAATATTGCTAAAGTTTTAAATTTTTAAATTGAGCATATATGTATGTAGATTGCACTTTATATGGTTTCCTTAATAGTGTAATTCATTTGAGAGAAAGTTATGTTATAAATTAGAGGTGAAAACTTGCGTCGGGACAACAGAGTAATAATCGTTGTACTGCAGACTAAGAGGGAAAAGTATTCTTACATGTCGCCTACTATGCGATTTTCATGAATTCATGAAAACTGGTACTTTACTTTAGTATGTTTGTGTATGTACGGGAGTGTATGTTTCAACGTTTGTGTGCATGTATGTTAGTGTATATATGCATTTATGTATGTACATACGTTTGTATGCAAGCATAAGTATGCATGTGTACGGATGAATCTGTGTATGTACATATGTATAAGAATGAAGGTATGCATGCATGCCATATGTATGTATATAAATGATGTGCTACATTGGTGATATTGTCAAGAAAACAGTTATATTGATATGTGTACGTGTTTAAACTTATGTATATATTTGTATAAAAAAAAAAAATATATATATATATATACATATATATATATATATATATAGAGGTGGGCTGCATGTAATGATTGTAGGTTCTGCAAACAAAAGTTTACTTGCCGCTCAGCTACAAATTTAAAAACATATTTTATACATATCTGTTGATGATTTATATGTAAATATATGTAAATACGAAAACAAATCAGATCTGAGCTTGGATCTTCTACTAGTTATATACATATGTCTGTCATATTGACAATAATTGTCAATTTGATGTGTTTCAAGTGTTTTCGTTGTGGAACCCTTGACTTGAACATTATTGTCTTTACCTTTTTGCGCTTTTGTAAATACTTAAAATTGCCCAGCTTCGGTTGTCTCATTGCCTGATTGTTTTCGATGCTTTTAGCAACTGATTTTCAACTTAATTGCTTCGTTGTGGGTCTGTCTCGAATATCCATCGTCTGTCAGCAGGCAACGGGTGTGCCGTAGGTGGTCCCATAACGAGCTAATGAAATGTGATGTTGGTAAGGAATATTGTTGGGCCTCAGCAATGAGTCAGGAACTGTCAAAACTGACGAGTCCACTTGCCAGAAAGAAAAACATAAAATACATGCAAATTGCGAGGTAATTGCTTAACTTATCATCATCAACGTTGTGTTTAAGTGATTTCGATGTTGTTGAACTTTTGTAAATGCTAACAAGAAAGAAGAGGTGTGTCTTTGGAATGACAAAAAATTTATATTTTCCAGACTCATACTTCGTTTTTTTTCTTTCTACAGAACATTTCTGCTGTAGGAGCTACATATGTATATGTATAAACTATCGGGTATTGCCTGTGGAACGTTTTGCGCTAAAATTTTAAGATATTTCCTTTCCAAAAAATACACGCCCATGGAAAATTGAAATCTCCCCGTTCCATCTTGAACTCGACTTCTATTTAAGAATATGTTTTAAGTGCATCGAATAAAGAATCAAATGTTGAAATCAGAGGTTTCCGACCTTGTTAGCCTTCACCAACAAATCTCTGAATTGTTTTGCGAAAAATGTGAAAGACATCTTAAATTAGATATTATAAAGATACTTACAAATGAAATTGAGCGCGAAACGTTACCCAAATCTTTGACCTCCATTTCCACCAAGGAGGATGGATTTTTCGAAAAGTTTTAAATACCCCTCAAATGAATTTGCACAAAGATCTTTGAAAATACGTTTGAGGAATTTTCCGAAACCCCGTCTTAACATGCATCTTCATCACATAAGGTAACTACAGTGAAAATTTCAGCTTCCTAGCTCTTACGGTATGGGCTGTGCATTGATAACCAATCAGTCAGTCAATAGTCAGCCAGTCAGTGAGTCAGTGAGTCAGCCAGTTCTGTAATGTAATTTTCAATAGATCTGTTAATATAAAAATATTTTTTTTTGTATTGTATTTCCAGCATCCGAACAGATCGACTCCTATATATAGGCAGAAACGCTTGGCTATATAGACTGGGTACTCATGATTCTAATGTGATTCTGCCACAAAATAATACCTCGAAGGGCTAGAAAAATCATAAATAATACTTGTATAACAGTTTCGAAAGAGAAAGCAATGCATATTCCTTTGCGCAGCCCTCAGACTTATCGATAAATGTGAAGTGCCCAGTAGCTTTTTGCAGCTGACAAAGTCGTTGAACACGTGCAATATACAATAATAAAAATTGATTGGTATCAGCAATTAAGTTCCAGTTTTGCAAGCTATTTGGATTTCTGTAAGTTTGACTTGACTTTGGATTTGCTAATTAACACATCGCGAAGTTTGCGTTTCGTTTAATTAATGACGCCCATTAAAATTTGTAAATGTGTGCGTCCTCGAACAGGCTCTGTTTATTTTTAGAGCAGAAAGCAAAACGGCAGCTGCCATTTTTTTGAGTCGAGCGCGTTCAATTTGCATGAGGATCAGGCAAAAAACCAGTCGACTAATCCACAGCTACAAACTGGCCAACAGCTCTGACCCTCTGTGTAGGTGTCGTTGTCAACGCCGGCTCAGCTCCGACTTGTCAATATCGTTTACATCATCATCAGCATCATCATTATCATTGCCATCATCATATTGGATGCCCAACTAGAAAATGTCAACTCCGGGGGCAACCGGCCAACAGCGTGGCGCACATGTCAACCCGTTTGCTGGTTACCCAAGTCCAAGCCCTTGTCACTGGCCACTTGGCTGTCAGCCAGCGGCGCCTGCGGTTGACACTTTTTCGCGCCGACACGCCCGCTAATCCTCTCATGCATAGCATCAGACGAGGTCGAGGTGGCAACAGCAAATGCGATGACTTGACACTTTGCCCAGAGACAACAGCGGACCCAGCTGGTGGCCGAGACCCAATTTGTTGCGCACAAACCTTGGCTATAATATTTACATTAGCCCTAAACCCTTCCATATCGTTTACACGTTGTGCTCTCAAGTGACAAACCTATTCAAATACATAAATATATTTATTTACAGCTTGTTTGAGCGATACCTACTCAAGATGTCCAGTCCCAAGCCGAAGCCGGACAATAAGAAGTTGTAAGTCTGCGTTTAGCCGAAGTCGATTTGTCAAAATATTTAGCGAACACCCATCGAAAATTAAGTAAAAGGGTATAATAGTTTTTGAAAATGACTTGAATTTACAGGGCACATCCAACAAGCTTGAGTCTTGAAATTTGAAATCATATGCTCCCATACCATACGCATAAAAAGCTTTTTATTTTTCCTCGATATTTTCAAAACAAATATCGATAAATATCGATTTTGAGACAGGCTCTTCTGAGCATGGCTAGAAAATTATAAGAGCAAGATAATACTGAAATTACTTCTTTTTTTATATTCCTCCATAATCTTACAGCCAAAGCCAGCCGAGCTCTGGCTTTGGCAGCATCATGGTTGGTGTCTTATTTGACGACGGTATTGTGCTGGCCATTAACACAGTGGGTAATCTTATATACTATCTGGATGATCATATCTAGTAAGCGGTTCGTATATGTAAGCTCAGCATTTCAATTAACTGGTTTAATTTAGCTGTGGCGCTAGTAGCACAGGATTTGATCGAGAGTCGCTGATGGAGGTTTCTACCAAACTGGAGAATATAGCGCGTAACAATAGCAACAAGGGCGTAACAGTTGCCCAAGCGCTGGACCTAATTGTCAAGCTATACGAACAGGTGGAGATTGCAGAGCTATTGCTGGCTGGCGAGGATCCCAGTGGATTGCATTTGATAGCACTAAAGTGTCCGGGCACCAGTGCGCGTGTCAATTATGCGGCTCTGGGACCAGGTTCGGCAGCGTCTTCCGAATACATCAAGAGTCAATGGCGCCCGGATATGAATCTGAGGCATGCCGAACAGCTGGCACGCGCAGCGCTTCTAATGGGTAGTATGAGTAAAGTTGGAGTCGATGTCTGCATCATATTCAAGCGCTCGCCGGAGTCAGCAACTCGAGTGGAAGGCCATGATTCATCATAGCAATCGAGGATGTTGCAATACCATATGTCTCGATTTGCTTTACAATTATTAAATGTTTATTTTGCAGCATAAATAAATTAATTGTTGACGCTCCCCACCTGGCTTCAAATAATTAACCACATTTCTTAGCATTTGAGCTGAAGCAGCAGCAGCGGCGGCGGCGGCGGCCAAGAATAGATTATCTCTCTAGCTATACTAAACGTCCTGGTCATGGACGTCTATGTCTCGCTGAGCCCAGTTTGGTCAGATGACTATCGTAATCGTTGGTGCCCTGCTGCAGGTAAATGCAGAGTAAGCACAAATGATTTATGCGCCCGGGCAGCATATAATTAATAATGATTAAAAGCTGGCGCCCATCAACAGCCCCATGGACATGCTCATAAGCAACTCGGATTCCTTGGCTGTATATAAAGCCGCTAATCGCTCCGGACACCGCCAGAGACGACGGAACTTTCCTACGAAATGAAAAGTGGTATAGTCGCGAGATCCACTCTCTGGCGCCCTGGAGACGGCCCGCTGTGTGGATTAAGTTGAATTTATATATGGCATTTGAATGTTTCTCATATTGGCCACGAGTTCACGATTCATTGCCAGCCTGCCTGCTGCCTGGTTGCTGTGCGTGACCAGGTTTCATTTTCATTAGCCTCGTTACCCTCGGCCTCAAGGCTCTTTGGGGCCTGGCTCGGTGTGTGGTCTGTGCTCCACTGACAGCACCTGGGTGGCATTATGTTGTCAGCCTCTTGATTTTTACCGCAGCAAAGTTGCTAATTGATTTTGGCCCTGCAAATTGTTATGGAAAGATCTCTTGTATTTCTGCGGTGTCATAATAGCAATTATTTTAATAACTTATTATTTAGGACCAAGCACGCCATGTATATTTATACAATACGTTGAGTTGGGAACGAAATGGAAACCATAGAGGTTTTGAATATACGGAAAGCGATTTTCGCAAGATCCGGGAAAATAACCCACGGAATCGAATTCTTGCCCGCGCCCAACTCTAATCCGTAGTTTATTTAGTTTCATTTTCTGGCTTTTGGTAATGACGATATTCTTCCTTCAGTTCCCACATCTGTCTATGAGCCGGATCTTTGCTATAATCGCCAATATCCTTGAGTATAGCCTTCAACACGAACACCGATTGCTTGGTAATGAATTGCAGATCCTTTAGCGTATAGTATTGATGTTTCTCAAAGGCCTGGAACAGCATATCCATGATGTTCTCCTTGCTGAGCACCTTTGTGGCATCCTTCTTGCGTTTGCCATCATCCTTCTGAAAAAGACATTGAAAAGGGATCTGAGTAGAAGTTTTAGCTGGCGGGAACTGAAACAAACATTGTGAGCATGATTGCTGACAGGCTTGTAGCTCTTCACAATATGATTGAGGGCTTCGGCGCTACGCATAGGTCGTACGCCCCGTATGGATAGCTGCTTCATCTTCAGATACTGAGCATTGCATATGGGCAGACATTCCATCTTGTGGGTTACCCAGCCCTCCATGACGGAATCTGTATCATCGATTGTTGAAAATATGCCCGTCAGCCGTGCCCCTTTTATGGCTTTGCACAGCTTTAGGTCGTGCTCGCTGGCTAAGAGTTTGTCTGGAGCCAGTTGCATTAGGTCCTGGCTTAAAATTAATTTCACCTTCGCTGGTTCCTTATCGTCGCCGGACTTTTCCATGCGCATTGTTGCCACTTGCATATCATTGGGCGCCTGCTGCCACATTTGGGCCACATAGTTGGGCACCTTTACTAGCCAAATACCGCGCGAAGCTTTTGACATATCCATCTTTTTTTTCTTTTGATTTTCTTGCGACATTTTTGAACAAATTTTCGTATAATCACAGAGAACAAGAACTTGAACGCGACAGAGCTCAATGGGTAATGAAAAAAAGCCACTTACAATTCAACCAAAAATTATGCAAAGGCATACTTCGATATATATTAAGTTAAAAACGGAAATTTATCTAACATTTTTGTAATGCTTAATTTAAACTTAGCGCCCGAATCTGTTCAGAGGTTTTTAATGAACAAAAATTGAATCAGTGTTGTCACTGATAAGTCGCTATAAATAAAGCTAATTCTGTTTTAAAAAAATAGTCAGAGTTACAGGTATTTTCAAATTTCAACAGATTCCCACCTCTGAAAACAGCTTAATTTAGTTATAAGCTAGCGATTTTGAAAAGGAACCGGAACTTAAAAGCTCGATAGCAAGCCTAACGCATCCCTGGACTATTAATATTAATATACCAAATATGGACACATGATTTAATAGCGTGTGCTGGCCAGGTAAATCTAAATTTAATACTGTTTTTTATTGTGTTGACAGCAACAACTGTTAAATCAAGTCTGTATTTTATTTAACGTCAAGTCAAGCGGCCTGAATATTTATTATAATACTAACATTCATTTTATGACAAATTGTTTGGAAGCGAGCACAGCAAAAATGGGAAAAAAGAAGAATCTACATGCGGCAAGTCGAGCTATAATTTACTCATCTTATTTTTATATATTTTTTGTTTTATTTTAGCAAATTTATGGCAAAGCGTACAAGCCAGCACCTGTTAAAAAAATTCTGGGTAAGATTTTTAACACATTTTGATATAGCCAGACAACATGCAAATGCTACAACAATATTATTGTTCGAAAATTTGAAGACTTACGAAATTCATTTCAATAGCCAATGCCCAAGCAGCAGCTTCTCAACGTCTGGGAGCAGCAGCTTCGGCAGCAGCAGTATCAGCAACCGCAGCTCCAATAGCAGAAGGAGCACCACCGCCACCTGCTCGCTCCGCACCACGACAGCGAGTAAGTTGGACTTCTTATCGCCTTTAAATAATTCTTGAAATGATCTTTGCATTTTTCATTCTCTTAGGGACGTCCGCGCAAAAATCCTTTGGCGCCCGATGCCGCCATGAAACGAGAGGACAGTGTGAACAATACGAATGCCATAGTCAAGGTACTGCTGCGTTCGCTGAAGGATCACAATAAGCCCATGGCTACTGTCAATAATGGATTTGAGCGTGGTCTTAAGCCGGATACAATTGTTGCCGGCTTTCGTCATGAGGGTCAACTAATGTTTGCCGTCAAGTTCAAAAACCGCAAGTTACCTGAGCTAATTAGTTCGATGGAATTGAAGCTGCGAGCACCCAGCTTGTTGATTCAATACTACGTTACGAATTTGCAATATCCACACAATGAATGATTAAACATAGTTGATTTTACTTTAATTTATATTGAGCATTTACAATAATAATATTAAAATAGAAAAAATTACCGGGACTGCTAGCCCCAAAGATATTGTCGGTGCTTTATTTCCAATTATGATTGTACATTCATATTTTTATAGAAAAACATCTTTGAAGGTGAGTCTCCTTCACAAGTTCTTTATTTTTAACAGAACCATATTTGATGAAAACTTTGGTTCGTTTCGGGATTCATTCGGCTGCTTAAATCAAATGACTACAACAGGCTTATATTAAGAAATTAATGGAAATTTAGTTTCGAGGGGGTTGGTTTCAAAACCATTTCAGTCTTGCTGCTCACCTTAAGGCAAATGTATATCTCTTGGGCCACTGCATCATATAATATCAGCCACAGGTGTCTTTCGTGCATCAGCGAGTACAGTAATCGCTCCGAAAGTTAAACGGTCAGGAATTAGAGTTTTCGAGAAGCTAACACACAAGTGCAAATATTTGATATAAAGGGTCCTATAGAACGAATCTTTCGGCTTATTTGGGAGCGTTTGGTACAACATTTAAAAAGTAAGCGTAGGGAGTTGAACAAGTCGCTCAGAGAGTCCCCGTCACAGTAGGCTGTCCTTGTTGATCAATTACAATCAAATCAGTCAAATATATATATATAATAAGTTTCTTATAAAAACCAAAGGGTTTAAATTTCTGAGCGAGCACTGTACTTACAGATTTGCAAGTTTACGTCGCATTAAGGTTACCATCACGCTCTGGTTCGCATATAAATTCAACTGGTTGCTGGGCCAAATGCAATGCCAGTGCACTCATATATATTCTGCGGCGTTCGCGAGATAGCGCCTGGTGGCAGGGTGGTGGAGGGGCCGACTACTACAGCAGGCACAATGCCTCAGATAAATTTTCATGTTGTCACACCTGCGCCTCGCATGCACACATAAATATATCTTCGAATCGAGCCGCCAAAAGGTGGCATTTGCAACAATTTCAGGCGAAATAAGATATCAAGGGAGAGGCACTCGATTCAGTTCGCACCCTGCCAAAAGAGGTGTAAAAAATTGAAAGCGAAATATTATTAAAATGCCGCATTGTCGGACGTCTTTCAGTGGCGGTTGCAGTGGCCGCTGTGCCTGCTTCTTGGAAGTGGAATCTCTCTCCTCTCTCTCTCTCTGTCTCCCGGACGCGCTGCCTATCTCTGTCTCGCGATGCGTCTTTATTTATGGGGTATATTTGATTTTCGAATTTCGTCCCTGGGATCCTTGTCTCGTGCTGTTATCGCCATGGCATTGACATTTTGACTGCGCCTCCGCTGGGCAGGCGTGTGTTGCATTAAGGAGACCTCGCTGCATATATATTTGCTTATTTATGTTGCAAAGTCAACACTCTGTACACAAAGTACACAAACTGTGGCTGTTTATTGGTTTTGTCAATGCGGGGAGGGAGCTGTGCTGCATGCGGGTTAAAATTTTTGACTTTGCCATGCAACAGGTTCGATATAAGCCCAGTATCAAGATAAATGTGCAAAGCTGCACGAAATAATTCAGCGAATGATTAAAGGCTTCAAGATAGGGATTTACACGGATGTGATTTTAAGATTAAAACGAAAAACATATATGTATTTATACAGTAAGTGCTGCAAATACCGACCTACATTATGAAAATCACTCATGCGCAGAGTTGCATAATTTTAAATTATTCTAAAACATTCCACAATACGTTTAACAATTCACAATTCAATTTGTGAATGCTAAACGGCTGGCAATAAAAAAAACTTTTTCTACACTTGGAAAAAGTATTATTATAATGTCATGAAATGGGTGACACATGGAATCGATAAAGTTCCATTCTTAAATAAATCTTAACTCAGCAGCAGCCATAATTCTACAAGGGTATTTACCACTCGACTTGCTGAATATTGTTATATACTTATTTAGTTAACTTTTATATGTAAGCATTTTTGCTGTATGTTCGCACTTGCTTCTTATCGACAGCAATTCTTTGATATACACAATTTATAATCATAATTTTTTAATCATGCTGCTCAAGTGGCCCACTCATTGTCAGCTCTGTATGGATACAAACTCCTCGTACCATTGTTCAGTGCAAATTAAAAATTGTTCACATCGCCTCGGCAGTTTATTATATGGCGCTGTGGTCTGTGGTCTGGCTCCGAATCGAGAACCGTGTCCGGTTCTTTTAACTGCCCAATCATAATTCACTAGCCAGCCAGACGAGTCTCCCATGAAGCGAAAGGATAATCGTGAAATGCGTGCGCGACCTCCCAAAAAAAAGTAGCAGGATGCCCCTGCGTCTGGGGGTAATAATTTAAAGTATTGCTCTATTATTTATTTGAGCATATGTCAATGAAATTTATTTATTTATTCACAGCAGCAACAATAAACAAAATGCCTCTGAAGTCAGCGTGCTGTTAATGAGCAGCCTGATGGGTGGATGCATGCGGTAGAGGCTGTTGTGCGGAGGGGGCTGGTAACCGTGGAGGGGCAGCCGCTGTTGACGTTAATTGACCGCAACCATTTTTTTGTTGCAGCGTGCAGTAAATTTTAATGAAATTGTTGCCGTGCACTGCGAAATGTTGTTGTTGTTGTGGTTGTTGCTGGGGCGTGGCCAGCGCATTGCTGCATCTGCATCTGGATCTGCATCAGCTCAAAGTGCTGATGACACGGCTGTCAGCGACACTTTGCGCCGCTTGTTGCATAAAAACATTTACAAAATAAAATAAAAGTGTATATGTGTATATAAAAATAAAACTTAAAACAAAATATAAAATCATGTAAATTGCCGAGGCTTAATTTTCGACGCACTGACAGGGGATAAGCGGGCTATGTTGGCGAGTCTGTTTAACGTTTTGCTTTCTGGCCATTTTTGATGTAGCTGCATTTATAAATTAATTAAAAATAAATTACTTTATGTTGCATGTCACATTTCATTAAACTTAGCAAGCGGAAAGTAACTAAGTACGCTGCATTTTTAATGTTACACAAGTTTGGGACAAAGTTTCTATGGCAAATATAGTACACTAACAACAAGAGGTTCTAGTCGGGAGCTCCTGCCTAGGGGATACCCTGAACCCTCTTCTTCCAACATCAAATGCATATATATATTCTATTTTAGAAGCTATATGTTAAGTTTGGTGACTCTAGCTCTTATTATTTACCAAAATTGCCCAAAAAGCAGGATATCGATATCGATTTGTATCCATTGCTTGGAAACGGAGTAAGTTATCGATTATCGGAAGCAAACTCGATCTGCGCGGGAACTAGGAGCATCTACATCTAAAGTCAAGTCTCTAGCTCTTATAGGTCCGAGATCCTTGCGTTCATACAAACGGACGGACGGACGGACGGACAGACAGACGGACATGGCTAGATCGACTCGGCTATTGATGCTGATATATATGTATATACTTTATGGGGTCGGAGATGCTTCCTTCTGCCTGTAACAAACATTTGGATTTTGCACAAATACAATATACCCTTATTCTCATTTGTAATGGGTTCAGGGTATAAACAGGAAATAAAATATGTAAATTAATTCACTTACACAGAGTTTCAGACCCTAAACAATATACAATTACATATTCTTAGTTAAGTTTGGCCAAAATATTTAAGCAACAATTCTGGAATTAGATAAAATAATATTTCTAAAAATCTAGAAATTCAAGTCCCACAATTTCTTTTGTAGAATCCGTTTTTTCACAAATCGTACAGATTTTAAAGAAATTGCAAATAAAAATAAGTCTTATAATTTGTTCTGAGTGTACATAGTACCGAATCTAATTGGAAATTTGGGCGCCTATTGTGCAGAAGCCGAAATCAAATAATGCATCCTAAATAGCTCTTTAATTGTCAAACTTGGCAACTAATTCAACTAACCGCCGGGTTTTGGGTCTGACCCGAAAATTGGTTCATGTGTAGAATTGAAAAGAATTTAATTAAGCATGCCAGCGCAAGTGAATGGTTCTTGCCTAAAACTAACAAGCTGAGTTAGTTAGACTGACAGAGAGATTTAGCAAATGCCGCTGGCATAATTCCGAATTTAATTTGAGAGAGACTTGCTGCTGCTGACCTGACCCCAAAGGTTGCCGAGCAAACAGAACTTATTAAACCAAAGCACTGCCTATAAGGGGGTGGGGGGACTGTAGGCGTGTCCGGTTTGGTTAAGTGGCAAAATAACAGAGGCTCTCGAAGTTCGGACTTGTGCCCAAACTGGGTAAGGAAATTACAGACACACACTTGGCTCGAGTGCTGCAGTCGGCTCGCAACAAAACCGCAAATTAGTTGGCTGCCTCGACGGACCACAGATGGCAAAACAAGAACAACAACAACAACAAGAACAGAGACGGTCACAGCAAAAACAACAAACAGAATGAGAGCTGCCAGTTACCAGTTGCCAGTTGCCCCCAATGTCAAGCACATCCACTTCCACAACAAACCCAAAACCAAAGCGAGAGACAAAATAAATAAGAAAATATTGTTCGAGCTGCCGTCGCCGGAGGCGTCTTTCCAGGAAACCCAACAAGAGGCACAGCCACAGCAGCAGCAGCAACGGCAGCTTCACCCCCATGACTGGCTTCCTTGGCTTCCTCAGCCTCGGTTGCAGCCTCTTATCAGCTCCCGCTGCTTGTGTCCCATTTCAAAAAAAAGTTGACGCGCGCATCGCTCCAAATCGCCGTCAACGTTGTCATCGGCGTCCGCTGTTGCTTGTATCGACTGCAACTCCATCTTCATCTGCATCTGCATCTCCTCCATATGTACTTGTGTATGCACTTAGATGCCAGCGCCAGATAAGCTCGCCCCAGCCAAGTGGCCACGACTCCTCCGGCTGCTTCTCGTGCGCATCACGCGTTCGCTTTTGTTCATAAATTATAATTTTATGATCACGAACATCTTCGTGGAATATGTTGGCCTTTGCCGTTCCCGTGGCTCCATTGTCGCCATCGTTGTCGCTTCCAAAGACGCGTTAAATATTAAAGTGTCTGCGCGAGAGACTGAAAATTGGCTTCGCCCGGGCGTTGGCTTGGAGCAGTGTCATCGTTTATGTTTGCCATTTGTGTTTACACTAATTGAAGAACTCGACGTGGACACTCACTTTGACTTCGTCACAGCCATGGACACACTTTAACAGCACAATTCCCAGCTCCATCTCAATGCCAAGCGGCTTCCGTGGCCAGTGGCGCAGACGCAGGCGCAGACGCTGCCAAGTCCCAGTTCTCTTCTGTCTCTGGTTTTAATCGTAAAAATTCTTTATTGCCTCCGGTTGGGGCAGACCTCTATCCTAGGCTGAAATTAGTTTGTTTAAGTTTGCCGACTGAGCTGCAATAGCAAATGATGAGTCTTGTGTCTTTATTGAAACTCGTAAATCAATTAAGTCACCAGACAGCTGAACTTCAAATATTGCATTATTTATGCCTTTTAATTAGCATACTCCAAACGCTTCACTCCCACTTTTAACACTCGCAATTAACGACAAAGATTTTCAAATTGAGATTCAAACTCAAAAGTGTGCCGCGCCAGAGTCAAATTGTGTGCCCAACAGTCATTAAGAAGTTCGATCGAACTATAATATTTTCCATACAATAATCTACTTTACGACCGATCGTTTCTTTGGCAGCTTTTTGATATAGTGGGCCGAAAATGTCTCATTTTGTGCAAAATCAAATCACCCTCTTCAGGGGTATAATAAGGGAGAAAGAGAGAGAGAGAGAGAGAGAGAGAGAGAGAGATTCTTAATGATATCCCAACTAGCTAAGTTGGCGTGGGCATCTTTTTGGCGAACGGTCACTCTGTTACGGGCTACAAACGAAAACATTTTCCGCGCGGCATTCTCATGACTCGAATTTTATTAAAACATTCTTTTAATGTGATATTTAAAGGTGTTAATGTGTTTAAAACAGCCACAAGTGCTGGTAATTGTGTTTTGTGTTATTAACCATTTAATCAGTGCGCGTGCAATTCGTTGCTTAGGCGGAGCGCTAGCGCTCATGTATGCAAAAAAATGAGAGCGGCAAACGCGTAAAAAAAGAAAACGAAAAGAAAACAGTTGCACAACTGTTGTCCGATCCTGTGTGCATTGCTCTTGAAAAAAGCGTTGCCTATTTTTGTTGTTGTTGCTGCAGCGGGTGCTTATTTCACACTTCGGCATGCTACGCTTGTTCCTGTAACGCGGTGTATGCATACATATTTACATATATGTATGGATGTAAATGCGCGTACGTGACAAAATGAAAAATCATTATGGCGCGTATGTCAACTGCTGCAGCAAAAGAGAGCGAGAGTGGGATAGATCCTGCCTGTTGACGTCATGTTTTGTAAAACAAGTGCACAGTATAGGAGAGAAGCAAAGAGGAAAAGGGAATACAGGCAAAGAGTAAGTGGGTGAGTGCGATTTTTTAGTATTTTTTTAATACGCATATACATGCGGAAATGACGCATCTTATTGGAAGCAATCGAATAAGAAATGTTATGTTGATGTTTGTGATGAAAGGCTAGAGGCTTTATCGATTTACTTTTTAAATATATACAATCTAAGCTTGTCAGAGCTGGAGATACCAGCTATGTTATGTATAACTTCTATAGTTCTTCTAATGATTTGTATATACCCTACCAAAAAATGCATCCTAAATTTGGTTTCTTTAGCTCTTAAGAACTCCAATATGTGGTCAATGCTTTTTGAATTAAGCTGAGCTATAATCTTATAAGCAGCTTGTCTGCAAGTTAAGCTTTACTTTAAGACAATTCATAATAATTGAAGCTTATTTTAAATTTATTTTGTGCTTTATTAAGTTTCGACCATTTGTTTTATGTTCAGCCTTTTGCATTGCACGATTTTTATTATGGAACAACAAGAACGGCAGCAAAATATTAACACAGTTTGCTTCATTTATGCAGCTTAATTTGAATTTGCAGCTCTAATGAACTTTAGCATGCAATAAAATGAAATTTAATACAACCGCGTGGCTTCATAGCCGGCCCTAGTGAGTTCTCTTCGTGGTCGTGATCCTAATTAGTTCCTTCCGCATAATTGTGTAGGCAACAAGCAATTTTAATATTAAGCTGCAGCCGCTAAATGAATTTATTGTTCTGCCCAACCTCCAGTGGGATTTTCTTAGCCCCTTTGTGCCACTTGCAGAGTTGAAAATGAACGAATTGATGTCATTTAACATGTATAAGATTTTTGCAAAATCAATTGCAATCCATTAGTTACTCAATTAAAATGTTGGCAAACTCCTCAAACTTTTCTCACTCGCAGTGTCATAAATCTCCATTTGCAAGCAACAAGAAAATGTTTGGGGACACAGCGTGAATCATCATCATCGGCATCATCATCATTATCATCAAGTTGCAGTCGGTTGCCGGTTTAATTCCCTGGAAATCCAAGTTGAAAGTTGAAGGCAAATTAGCAACAGCGTCAACATTGCGCCAGCGTGAAAATTAGAATTAAAAGCTGAAAAAGTTGCCAAGCAGCTAAACAAGAAGAAGAACAAAGTTTTGGACTCAGCAACAGAATTAGCCAAAAATGGAATTACCGTAACTTGTGTGTGTGTGTCTATGTGTGAAAAGGGAGATGTAAAAGTGTACCACGAAGTGCATTGGTCCTGAATATATGCTGACAATTTTAAGGAGATTTTCTTTTAAATATGCACTAATTCCCCTGTCAATATTTCTTACTTTTTTGTGAATGTAACATTTTTTGCTGATGTGAAATATATTGCCTGCACGTTCTCGCATAA